AAATACAGGAAGGGGAAGTAAGGAAATTAATACATCTATGTTGAATATCACTGTGCTTTGGTGTGGATATAGCCTCCTGCTACTGTGGGAAACTTCTGAGTCAGACGTGTAGTGAAGCAAACAAAGTAAAGCATGACCGTTAAGATCCATTAGTTCTATAAATGCTAAACACCACATTCTTCTGTAGAGTAAAGGGTTAACTCAGCAGGTTAGGACAGCTCAAACCATACGAATTCCAAGAAAGGACTAGCCTTTGACTAGTTCCTGGAAGGTAATTTTTTTTTTCCTGGAAGGTAATTTCTGAGCCCTTATAATAGCCTGCCTGATAAAGTATTTTCATATGCCGAAGAACTTGGGCCATAACAATTTGGTCTCTATGGGTCTACAGGCTGAATAGCTAAGGTCCGATGGCTGCTGGGAGCCCTGAGAGCCAATAAATGGGTCCTGATAGGAATAGACACATAACATTGGACTAGACTTTGCATGGTAGATGTAAATGCTCAAAATACTATAAAAGAACTTGAATAGAAGACTGTATCAGTTGAGACCACTGTGTTATATTTCTTCAGACCAGGAAATACACCTTACACCCCCAGTGTCCAATAATGTACTAAAAGGTACCATATCAAATGGACATATTATGTTGCATATCATCCTCAGAGTAGTAGTGGTTTGATAAAGAACTGGGAACAGGAGAGTAATATACTTGTTAAGACACGTTCTCCATGCCCTCTGCCCACTTAACAGATGAGGTCAGAGAGACACTAGCATCTTCTACTCATCTTTATGTCAAAAATAAAGTCAAGGTTGAAGCTACAAAAACCAGGGCTGCAAACTCCTCAGAGGTCCCAGACATCAATCTGGGGCAGTCCTGTCTTGGGAGGGTTTCTAGGAAGTATAATTTCTTCTATAGAGCTCCCAGAAGGATCCACTCTTCCTCAGGTGTCTCTCCTTGATATGGGGTCTCCTTCAGCTCTAAAATTCTAACCCAAGAACAAAGCTGTGGCTCAGGGCTAATGAATTTTGGCTGTTAATCTCACCCTGTGGAACAATGACTGTGAGAGCATCCCCTGTTCACACCATCACCCCCTTCTGTATCAATCTATCCCTAACCCTGACTTCACCCCACAAACTCACACTTCATCCCATGCCCTCCATTCCTACAGAGCCAATAATCACAGTGTGAACTATCTGCAGAGAGCTTCCCACATCACACTCAGAGGTTTCTCTGGGGACCTGCCCACCTCACAACCAATACAAATGAAGAGGTTCTTGACCTGCTAATTCCAGGTCCAATGGCCTCTAAGAACATAAACTCAAACTGAGTGAAGTCTCAGAAACATCAAACAGTTTCAGCAGGCATGGGTTGGGTACATGTGTAGGTTCTGGAGAGAGATGTCGCTCTTGGCGTGAGTCTCCCAACACAAAAAAGACCTAGGAATTTAACACTTGGGTCCCTGAAGCTTTGGAGAATTCTGGCCCTCACTCAGAATGCACATGCACTTTCTATGGCAGCTGCTTCCTGGCTGAGCTTTATTCTGGTGGGTGTTTGGCCCTAGCCTTGGCATATGCCCTTAGGTCACATTATTCTGAGTGATCATGTACTTGCAGGCATGTTTATATTTTTGCTATACTGCTCTGTGTGATGCTTTTTCTTCTTTTGTCAAATTGGGGATGAGATGATTAGGATTTGAGACTGCACACATGTTAGAAGCTTCAAAGAGTAGTTTGTAAGTTTGACTTTTGAGACTTAAACACTATCCTTGGATCCAGGAGATCTAAGATTCCATCCTTTGGAATCCTTCCATGCTTTGATGGGCCAAATTTTTATTTATGTACTGATTAGAAAGAAAATGAAATGGTGACATAATCCTTTCTTTATTAATTAGCTTCTTTCTTCTTGGCATTTTTAATTATTTTTTTTTAAAGTTTATTTATTTTTGAGAGAGAGAGATAGGGCATGAGCGGGAGAGGGGCACAGAATCTGACGCAGGCTCCAGGCTCTGAACTGTCAGCACAGAGCCTAACGCGGGGCTTGAACACATGAACTGTGAGATCATGACCTGAGCAAAAGTTGGACACTTAACTGACTGAGCTAACCAGGCACCCCTTATCTTTTCAATGTCTGCAGGATTCAGAGTGACCCTAGTTTTCTCTCTTACTCTTTCTGTCTCTCTACCCATCTGATGGAAATGGAAAAGTAATGTGGCATGTTTTATACAAGGAAAAATAAATGTAGCATTAGGACACAAAAATGAATAATAAATAACCCAGAACTACATGCAACAGCATACAATGGGTGAATCACACAATGTTGAACAAGAGAATTCAGACACAAGAGTATATACTGTGTAATTCCATTAATATAAAATAAAAAGATTGCCAAGCCAATTTTTGCTGTTAGAAATTTGGATACTTTATGATGCCGAAAATGTCCTGTGTCTTGATCTGGATAGTGAAATAAATGGATGTGTTCAGTTTCAAAAAATCCATCCGGCAGTACTTAGGCTGTATGTGCTTTTAGGTATGTATATTACACATCAAAGAAATTACTATTACCAAATCAGGAGGGCTTCTGCTGCTTTGCTCCAAAATGTAAAGAGCTTATAAATGATCACTACTACCCTCACAGCAACAAAAAGTTAAGCAAACTGAACACCAACTGAGTGTGGACCAGCTTGAGAGTTAAAAACTTCTACAGGCCCCCCACTGTCTTGAGTTTGACCTCTGAGAACACCACCACTTTGTCAGAGAGAAAATCGGAGGAAATTCCCCACATGCTTCTAGCAGAGGGGCAAGTAACCATTTTGAAATATTTCTAGATATTCTGTTGTCCACCTGCCCGCAGGTGATGAGAGAAACAAAGACAAGAGAAAAGTAGCATGAATTAACCTCCTTACAGCTTACCCACTGAGAGACACCTGAAACATGCAGAGTAGAGAGTGACCTTCCTCAAGCACCTCATGGATGCCTTATTTCCTTCATGTTTTTGTTTCATTAAAGACTAAAAGAAACCTTATCTTAGCAGCAGCTAGTCCCTCAAGGTCCTGAAAGCCTTGCTTCCAAATGCCTTAGAACCTTACTTTATCTCATTCCCCCCAACACCTCCCACAAACCTAAAAATATATAATCAGTCACTCCTCACAACCCCAGGGCAGCTCTTTCTGTCCCGCACCCGTCCTGTCCCCGTGCTTTAATAAAATCACCTTTTGAACCAAAGACATCTTAAGGATGCTTTCTTAGCCCTTTGCTCAAGAACCCCATCAAAGGGAAACTACCAGAGACTAACCAATGTAAAAGAAGGGAAATACCCAGCCCCCTCTAGCCATCAAGTGTCACCTAACTGGTTGGGGGAGGAGTGGTCCTGAGAAGAACTTGTGCAGCTCGCAGCTCAGGGTCGCAGGCAAATTGAGAGAGGAAGACCCAACCATACTAGTCTAAAATGCTTCCCCAACCCCTACATTGACACGACTCATGTGTAAAAACAGGATTAAAGCTGAACAAAGAAAAACCGATGATTATCTCAATTGATCAGAAAATTATTAACAAAATTCAACGCCCTTTCATCAGAAAAACATTCAACAACAAAACCCTTCCTAATTACTTTGTGGATATCGACAAACTAATATTAAGGTTTATATGGAGAGGCAAAAGACGGAGAATACCCAATACAAAACGGAATGAGAACTAAGTGGAAGGTCTGACAAAGAACCGTCCAGTCAAATCTTAATATATATATATATATTACATTTCTCTTTGGTTATGCTTAGAAAAACTATTCCTACACCGATATTACAAACATACAAAATTTTCACCAGATCACTTTTACATTTAATTAAGTCCACAATGAATATAAAAGTATTAATACTACTTCACTCCTACTCACTATTATTAAATGTAGCTAACGCGATGTAGTGAGAAAGCCAGCCCATTTCTGGCAATATCAAAAGTTACTTTCCTGTATGTTATCACCAGGTTGCAGCTACCTTAGGGAACACTACACCAGATCCCCGCCTTGGCCCTGGGGGCCGCAACCAATGACCCAACCTTGAGGCTCTGCACCCACAGGCCTGAGGCTTCGGACAGCCGCCAGTTCCGGATCGCCCTTCTCTGCCTTCTAGCCTAATCTGGACCACCAAGACTCGCACACTGCGCCCTCGTCTGTTTCCAGGCGAGCCCTACCCGCCCTCGCGTGACGCGTCGCCCGGCCTGGGAGGTTCCCTAGGCCGACTAAAGTTCTAGCAAGGCTGCTGGGATTTGGGCTACTTCTCCCATGAGCCATCACGGCCACGGACAAGCAGGCCCGAACTACATTTCCCAGAGGGCAGCGGTCAAGCGGATCTTTGGCTTCTCTTCCATTTTCGCGCCATTCTGGAGCTGTGCAAGGTGAGTTGAACTCCCCTCGGGATGTAAGAGGCACGGAGTGCCGACAGGCTGGGCTCTGGACAACCAAGTTCATGAGGGGTGTGGGAGGAAGTCTTTGAAGTATGGAAGCCAGTAGTAGGGGCGACTAGTTGTTACCTTGATCTCAGGCCTGAGGTTCAAGCACCACAGGGGAAGGTGGTGTGTATCGGTGCGGCCAGATTGGGGGCATGGAGGGCGTGTGTGTGTGTGTGTGTGTGTGTGTGTGTGTGTGTGTGTGTGTGTG